AGGAGGCAGGAGGCGGGGCTTCGGGGGGGGCCGGGCTAGGGGGCGGGGACTCGCAGTGGCAGACTGAGGGCAGATTCAGGAGGGAGGGGGAACCCTGGGGCGGGCTTGTGAGGAGGCAGGCCCGGGGTGGGGCTTCGCGGTGGCAGGCTGAGGGCAAAAGCAAGAGGGAGGGACTGGGGGCGGGGCTGACGAGATTCCAAAGCCTCCCAGGGGCGGAGATTCCGCTTGAGTTGCGGGAGACTGGAGGGCTGGGGGCGTGGATTGTAGGGCTCTGTGGGGCGTGGCCTTGTGGTGGGCGTGCCTTTGACACAAAGCCGGGCTAGAGGCGTGGTTCCAAGAGGCCTGGCTCCGCTGTGAAACACCCCTGCTCCAAAGGGGGGGGAACCCCGGCCGGAAGTGAGGCGGAGTGACCCCCCAGAGCCTCAGAGGGGGGATGGCCATAACTGACAGCCCAGACCCGATTCACAGCGGCGCCGTCACCATAGCAACAGATGCAGGCAGGGTGGGGGGGTCGTCTAGGAGCCCCATGCCAGCCCAGGCTTCTGGTCCCCGCACCCAGGGCTCCCCTGGGGTCTTAGGAGCTATAACGTGGGGGCCTGGTGGCCAAGGCTCCCGCCCAGCCGCGGGCCAGATTGGAAACAGATGCTGCTTCCCACACCCTCCGAATGCAGCCTGTTAGGCTTCAGACCTGGCGGAAGCTTGGGGGCCGCGTAGGGGGCTCAGTGCTCTCACCCCTCCCCCTTGTCCTAAAGAGCAGGGCGACCCACACACAACGGGACGACTCACCACGAACTTAAAGGCCCTCTGATACATCTGCGACACAGCAAGGCTGGAGTCCCCTGCCACCCAGTTGGTACAGGACACCGTGACCTATACAGGACAACCCCTGGCCAGATGCCTGTCCTGTCGGCCATACAGCAAGTGTGAGGCAGGCCTGTCCCCAAAACCAACAAAATGTCTGTCTGCCTGGGCCCAGGCATGCAAAGGCCCAGGCAACCCACAGCAATCGCTAGGATGCCTATTTGCCCAAGTCCCTTAGGCTGTGTGGTGTAGATAGGGAGGAGCCTCTGGGCTGTCCAGTACACAGGGGACAGTAGCCAAGGGCTAGTGGCTTGCTCCCAGCCAGCCTGAGTC